ATATCCCAAAGATACATAACGAGCCTCACGCCGTTAGCAACCAAAAAAAGTCTAGGTATCCAGCAGAGAATCCGTACTTTTAGTCCGCATTCTCTGCTGGATACCAGTGGCTTGCTTGGGTAAAATTTTTGATCGTATTTCGCTCCTAATCTGATAGAGGCGTCAACTTTTACACAATCATGTCATCATCCTATGGCGTGAAAAGGTAATTAAAGAAGCCGTATCCGAAAAAAGTGTACATGGCCGGCGCTTAAAAATAGTGACAAGACAAAGCGCTCGCCCGGAGTGTGTTGCGGCAGTTACAGTCACGTCGAAGAAACATTTCTTAGTCAATGCTTGCGGATTTAGTTAACTTCATTAATACTGACATAGGCTGCGACGCTTATTTACTACGACATTTAACTGGCGGCCTGAGTGTTTTGTTTTCTAATCAATTTTACCAGATTTTTGTTTTCGGATCGGAAACAAAGTAAATTCCAGAACCGACGACTTTTTTTCCGCTGTGTTCGGAATCTTTGACAGCTGACGCTTGGTGCTGTAATTTTTGAGCATCCGGTTACCAGTTATTGGGAATAAACTCGGCGTATTACAACCTATAATTTCTTTTGCTGTTTAACGCAGAGTCCACAATACATGGCGGCTTTTTCTCACTGATATTTTATGTCGCATTTATAGTTTACACACTGTTCCAGTTTTTTTAAACGATATTCATGCAGTACACATAAGATTCTTTGTCACTGGCCTTCATATGACCTATATTGGTGCCGGAATCCTCTAGATAGTTGCGAGAGATTACAGACATTATAGGTACGATGTGATTAAGGCACTGGTGTTGAAAACCTTTTTGCGCTACCTCCTCCGCAACGATGATTAAAATCGTGAATAAACAGAGACCGGGGGTAGTAATAATTGTTTTCAAATCAAGATAGATGTTGAACAAGCTGACAAAGCTTTTAAACAGACAAAGACTAATTTCGTTTAATGACACGTTAGGAACAAGTTTAAACTCCCTTGAACTTTAACAGGGTTCGTACTGTATAGTAAGTCCATGAATTTCAGGGCAAGTCCCCCAATCAATTCAACCAATCCTTGGAAAGTCCTTGAGTTTTTATTTTCTAAAAGCTTCTTGAGAGGGGTGGGACGTTGACTTTTTCTGAAAAACCAACTTTAAAAACTGAGTCAAGCGCTGTGCGCTAGGTTGGTTTGGAAATTAACATGGAGCGCGGTAGTAGATCCAGTAATGCGTTATTGACCAAGTAGGAGGACTCAAACCTGAGCCAAGCGTTAAGAGCCAAGCGAGAGCTTGACTGCAGGTTACACAAGGACAAAATGGCTGCAATGCTAGCCACCGCAGAAAACGAAAAATAAACAAGGGTTAATAGCTAATCAGCTCACAGAATTCACTGCATCTTCCACCGCTTGCGAAGCCAGCCATATAAAAAGGAAAGGTAATACATCGGCGTATATAACTCTTAAAGCAAGAATCTCTCCCAACATATTCATCTAAGGTAGTAAACGTTTGAAATGTATAGAAAGCATGAAAAAGAAAGGGTTCTGATGCCGCGCTTATTCAGAGCTACAAGTTTGAATGGCCGAGGGGTGGGCACTTATTCAAGGAAATACGGTATATCGATCATTTGAGGCTGTGCGCGTTATTTCGCGTTGTTTCATACTTTATATTATCTGATATTACACAGTTTGTCAGGAAATCAATGGTCGTCGTGTGTTTACGTCCTACAAAAATGTCGCATCAGAGATTTCACGATCTAGCTTCGCAAAGAAATGTACCAGCAGTGTTTTGCCTTATGTTATTTATTGAGTTTTTTTGGCAGCATTTTGTGTTTTGACGTTCTCTTCCCGTCGCGGTTTGCTGGGCGACTTTTAACAGTAAATGAAGCTGTTTTTCAAATTTTTGTCTCAAATGACTATTTATTCCTGCCGCTCTGCTGTAGATATAGGTGAAGAGCTCAAATAACAAAAAAGTTTGCGTCACAAGAATTTCTTCACATTATATATCCCAGAAAACCTCAGGCATTACTCCGAATACCAGAACTTCAGCCTGGGTGAACCAGAAAGGATAGACAATACTTCCCTATATTAACCATGAATGAAAAGCTAAGTAAGTCAAATATCTCAGAAGTGCTCAGGCGTTACACTGAATGCCAGGACTTCAGCCTTGGTGAACCAGTAAGGCCGATAGACAACACTTCCCTAGATTAACCTGTGAATATCAAAGAAAATAAGAATGTTAGGTATCCCAAAGGCACTAAGGCATTACTGTGAATAGCAGAACTTCTGTTTAGCCTGGGTGAACCAGAAAAGATAAACAACACTTCCCCGTATTGACCATGAATGAAAAAACTTAAAGTATGTTATATATCCCAGAAGCACTCAGGCATTACACTGAATGCCAGGACTTCGGCCTGGGTGAACCAGAAAGGATTGACAACACTTCCCTATATTGACGATGAATGAAAAGCTAAGTATGTTGTATATCCCAGAAGCGCTCAGGCATGACACTGAATGCCAGGACTTCAGCCTGGGTGAACCAGAAACGATAGACAACACTTTCCTAAATTGACGATGAATGAAAAGCTAAGTGTGTTGTATATCCCAGAAGCGCTCAGGCATTACTTTGAATGCCAGGACTTCAGCCTGGGTGAACCAGAAAGGATAAACAACACTTCCCTATATTGACCATAAATGAGAACCTATGTGTGTTATATATCCAGGAAGCGCTCTGGCATTACACTGAATGCCAGGACTTCAGTCTGGGTGAACCAGAAAGGATAGACAACACTTCCCTATATTGACCATGAATGAAAAGCTATGTTA